CAAACAAATAAAAATTAAGGAGAATATTTTGCGATTTTTTTTATAGCTTTTTGCAATGAGGATTTCATTGAAAACTTGTCTCAGATTACAAAGTAAGATTCAATTTTTTCGAAAATACCCATACACGTGAAAAAATAAATAATCAAAATTTTTAAGAAGCATATGTTTAGTCCAATCCGTGCTGCGTTAGGAAAAATAAAATATAGTTAACACTAGATTGCTCAAGGAAGTCATTTTGACTGCCTTTTAACTTCATTAAAAAAAAACAATGATGTTTATAATGATACAATTTCTTAGAATTTTGTGACCTTTTGTACAACATATAATTTTTTTATTGTTAATATTTGATAATAACTTGTTATATAACTGTAAATAATATTAAAACTATTAAAAATTAATTAAAAAAAAATTTCTTGGCACATTAATAATTCTTTCACAATCCAGTCGTTTTGACTGTTTTTGGTCAATATAGGTATATACTAAGTTTCAGTCTTTCTAGTGTTAGCATAATGAAGGTTATATTGCAAATTTTTATAACTCTTTCCAAAGTGAGCGTCAATTTTTCCAAAAGTACCCAAATGTGTCAATAAATAAGTAATCGAGAGTTTTAATGTTTACTCTAAACAATGATGTGTTAAGAGCATGTGTATATGATGATAAGGAGGAAAATTTGCGAATTTTTTTATAATTTTTAGCAACGAGGAACCCATTTGAAGCTTGATTAAGATTAAAAAATGACAGCCAATTTCTTCAAAAATACCCATATATATGTCAAAAAATATGAACTCAAAATTTTTAAGAAACAATTTTTAGTCCAAACAATGCTACGTTAAAAGAGTACACATATGAAAATAAAGGAGGACACTTTACGAATTTTTTGCAACTTTTTCCAATGAGAAATTTGAAACTTATTCCATATCACAAAGTAAGCGTCAATTTTTTCAAAAATACCCATAGATGCGTAGAAATAAATACGAAAATTTTTCAAGTAGAATTTGTTTAGTCCAAACCACGCTGCACAAAGAGCCGTGTTTTGTCATCCCTAATAAGAGCTTATCAGTGAGGTTGAACTTTCATCCATACTGAGGAAGTGGGATGTAAGACTCATCCTATAGACAAGAGGTCACAGATCCAAAGTGGGGTAGAGCTCATCCAATACCTCCTAGAGGAATCAAGCCCCACAACGGGTTACTATAGGCGATGATGACGTAGTAGAGTTAGGCCCAGAGGGAAACCAGTCAGGGTAGCTATTTTTACGAAAAACTCCGAATCTGATCAAACGAGCCATTGGCGATATTCTCAAGTATTATAACCTGTGTCGGCATTCAGCCAATTGGCGAATATTTTTGATTTGAATTTGTAAACAACCGTGTGTGTTCTGGTGTCAACGTTCTTCGTAAAATTTATATTTATTCAACAAATGTTGTAAANATACTTGTACTTTTACTCGTTACTTTTTAAAAGTAACGTTGCCATGTATGGTCAGAAGTGATCAGCGAATCTGGGCCTAACATGAGTCATCGTTTTGCGTCCTTCGGCTTTCTTCCCATCTAGGAGGTATTGGCTCATCCCATAGCACCAAAGGTTATCAACTCTTTAAGTGGGGTGCATGCTCATTTTACCCCTACTACTATCAGACCACGCTAAGCTATGAATTGAGAACCGGATTAGATTGTCTAACTCAAAATGTTTCAGCTTAAAATGTTCTAGATAAATTCTACATTGGTTTAAACTTCAATAAATTACCCGATCTAATTTTAAATTATTAAATCAATTTTTATCGTTTCATAATTTGTCGATAAAAAGAAGCTATTAACTTGCCATTGTGGTTTAGAAACATCCTCCTAATAGGTTTGCTGTCATTTTGCTGAGTCGCTATTCACTGAGATGTTATGCTTAGCGAAAACCAGCGACAATGTTAAAAGTTAGGATGGGCTATTCTCCTTTGTTAGAGTTAACTTAGTCTTTCAAATCATAGTAGTAAAATTTTTGAAAAGACAGAATTATAGCTGTATTTATTTCCAATAAACGGAATATGCTGTTTAAACATTTAATTTAATTACAATCTGATAATTTCTTCTATTAAGACTTCTAAGTTTTCCGGTAAATAAAACTGTAAACAATCTCAAATTTTTTTTTTATTTCTTAGTTTCCAGATGCTAAATTGAGGCAAGTATTAATGTAAAATCATATGCCTTCAGCACCCCGAAGCTTTTAATGATGTTTAATTTTAAACATGTTTCATTTTAAATTAAAATATTAGTTATTGATGATACATCTAAAACTATATGTATATACAAAATCAGATGAAAATGATGACAGGTCTGAGCATTTTCAATGGAACATACATTAAAATGGCATGATCTAGTTTTTCCTCTTGCAAATATAAATTTCTTTGTTTGTTATTTGCGTAAAATAATAAAAGTTTTAATAGTATTGTTTATTAAACAAAAAATAATTTACTTTCTCTTCAAGACATCATTAGGATTACTGTAAAATATTTTTAAATGCTAAATAATCTAAATAATTAATAAAATTAGTATTAATGAAATAAGCCGACTGTCTGTACGGTGGTCAGGAAGTTGATCTGAAGTCAGAAAGGTCCCGGGTTCGAATTCCGGATGAGGCGCGGACGTTCTTTTCTTATCTTCTCTGTACTATCTGTCTTTCTTACAGTGGGAGTAATGTTGGCCAACGTAATATGGTTCCCCTGAGAGAGGGGCCAACAAATCTGCCCCTCTGATACCCGAATGACGAATGTAATTATCCTGCAGAGCACTGGGAAAAAAAATAAATAATAATTAATGACAATCAAATTAATAATTATTAATAACTAATAAATCTAGTAATCTAAATAATAAATAATCACACTCTCACGAGATAATCATTTAGGTAAAAAAATACTTAAAAAGTTTTTATGGAAACCAAAAATTGAATTGAAATTAGAAAAAAAAAAACAATTGCTTGTGAAGTTGAAATGGTAATAGAGAAAGTTTAAATTTTGCGCCAATAGAATCGATAACTAAATTTGTGATACCCCAATCTTTCAACTTAATACTTCTTTTTAAAAAAGAAAATTAGATAATAACTAATTGTTCTTCGCTGGATAAAAAAATTAGCAATCGTGGGGTTTAAAGAGCTAAGCTAGCAGAAGGTTAATACAAATTTAATACAAAATAGGTTAATACAAAAAATAATTGTCTGGTTAATACAAATTCTGCTACCGGCTCATACTGGCCCACAGTACTGACGTAAAATATCCTCAGTAGAAGACGGATCATGGGCTAGAATTTCCTTGCCCGTAGGAGGTTTTCCTGTCTATGTAACGCAAATGCTGGTTAGTTCCATCAAAAAGTATTTCACGAAGATTAATTTGTCCCAATGTTTGATCCAGGAGTTCTCTTGTCTCCTACATTAGGTTCAAAATTACAAGGTTACGGAGATGAACATTGATGGTCGTCGTAAACTCAAAATCGGATCGGCTGTTCAACGCTGGATTATATATATAAAGTCTGTTAATAATAATAATAAAATCTGTTTGATTAAAAATAAAAAATTCTTAAATAATAATAAAAAAAATTAAGAAAAGTTTTATTTTTTAAATCCTTATCTATGATCTTATTCGACCATAGATCCTGCAGTTAGCTGCAAAGGCACAATAATTTAAACAACAACCTATGGGGAATGGTTAAGGGTTATCCAAGCCTTGAAATACAATCCATATGATTTTAATTTTCGTTTTAGCTAGAAATTTTTGATTTTGAATGAAGAAGGATATTCTGCCGGGTGAATTTGAACTTTTGAGCTCCACACTAATTTTTTAATCGTCTTAGAGATCACCCTTAAGTTCTGTTAAAGCAATTAACTCTGTCTTTTTTCTATTAGAAAATATTTGTTATCGTTAAAAGAGAGTCAGAGAGCCGTGAGCGAAAATGAATTTATTATCATAAGTTGGTAAACGGTAAAAAATCTAACTTATTTAATAATAGTTGGAATCGTAATGCTATTTTTATAGGCAATCTATTTCTCTCAGATTAACAATCTAAGAGAAATCCTATCTTGTTTCAAGATTTATTTATTTCAGAGAAAACCCGACGAGAATACTACTCGAGATCTCGAAAAAGAACAGTGTTTAAACTATTTTGTAAAAGCAAAATTCTATTTCTCTTATAATTCTCTTAACCCTTTTTTTTTTGTAATAATTTATGATATATATTTTTTATAATATTATATAATAATATAATATTACATTCATCATAATATTATTATTATTATATGTATCCATTTTATTATGATAATTTATGAAAATGTAGATGTAAAAATTACAAATGACAGAAAAAACGCGATAATTTTTTTAAAAAATTATTTACGATCGAGGTATGCAATTTTTTTTTTCGTTGAGTAAATGAAGCATACTACTAAAGAAAGTAATTACTGGAAGCTAAAATCTTCATATATTTTCTGAGCATGTGAGAATTCAAAGCCCGCAATTTTTCAAACATTTTGCACAAAAGAAACGGCTCTTACCGTATTTCGATATATAGAGAAAAAAACCGATTAGCTTAAAAAGTGGGAACATGTATCTCAAGAATTAAAAATATTCATTTAATTTAGTACTAAATGAACGGTTCATTTTTCATAATAATGTTTAATAAATCTAAATATTATTATTAACATAATAATATGTAACTGGAAAAAATAAGCAGAGGCATTTTTTTTAGTATTATTATTAGTTAACATATAATTTTTTTAAAACTGTTTTTTCTTTTAAGGTTTTTGCATTGAATTTTGATTATGAAAACGAAAGTAACTAAATAAATAGTATCATTCAGAAAATAAAATTAATTTCTTTCAATTTGTTATCCCACACAAAGTGCCTCATCACAAAAATACCTCCTCCCGACACCCGCACCCATTTCCGGTAGCTAAAATCAGCGACTCTCTTCTTTCGCTTAACGCATTATTTCACCAGAAAGCAATTGAAAATACCAGATTCAGATAACACTTCGAAGAAAACATGTTTTTAACGGCACATATAAAACGTCGTGGTGTCCATCTTGGTCTTTGTGTATGCGCTCGCCTGGTTAAGCAAATCCCAAGTCGTCAAGCAACCAGAAAGAAACAACAACCATGTCCAGTGCATCAGAGAGGCAAAAGAGGGTCTTGCCCCTTTTCCAGTATGTATCCATCTCTACCAAGGATAAGTTTGGATTGAGGGTCCAAAGGGACCCCCGCCTGGCAGGCTTGGGTGTGCTCGGAAGAGGTGTCCTCTTTTCCTGTTTCCACGCTGACCATTTGAAGGAGGCAACTCATCTCTATGAAGTCTTGATCAGTATGTAGACTTTTTTTTTTGATACGTTTTACTGAAAAAAATACAAAAATTCCATTCACAAATCACAAAAATAGTTAATTATACGCAAATTGAACTTTAAAAAAAAAAAAAAAATTCCGTTTGAAGAATGTAGTTAATACGTTTTAGTCAAAAAATACAAAAATTCCATTTACAAATAACAAAAATATTTATTTGGTACGTAAATTTAGTTTCTTATTTTTCATCATTTCAAATATGCATTTGATAAGTTTCAGTCGAAAAATGTATAAATACTAGTTTCAACCTACAAAATTAATTAAAAAATCAGTATATAGATTTCATTTTTGCAATTCTACTTCAATAATGCTACGTTATTGTAAAAAAAAAAAAAAAAAGTGAAAATTACTATTTAGAAAAAAAAGAATTTTTTTTTTTTGCAATTCTATTTCAATAATGCAGTTGATACGTTTTAGTCAATATATATGTAGAAAAATAATACTATTTTACAAATAATAAATTTAATTGATCTGTATGTAGAGTTTTATTTTAAAATTTCACTTCAAATATGTAGTTCTTATGCTTCATTTAAATTTTCAACACTCCAAAGAGTTTTCTTCAAATTNTTTTTTTTTTTTTTTTTTTTTTTTTTTTTTTTTTTTTTTTTTTTTTTGAAGTATGATTTGGACGTTTTAGTTAAGGAATGAGAAAATACATTTTGAAAACAACGAATTAGTGAGTTAAAAAAAGTATTTTAGGTGATCCGTTAAATACACAATAAGAGATAATTGAAAAAAAAAACAAGAATAAAGCATACAAAAATAATAGAAACTAGAAAATACAATATTAATTTTACCTCATTGAAAATCACATGAATGAGACAGTTTCAGTTTAAAAGTTTGGATTAATGTGATTAGTATATCCCTCTTTTATTTTTAATCCCCACTAACGTATTTGAAACTGTTAAGCTAAGCAAAGTAAAAATTATTATGTTTTAAAAGAATGAAATGAAGTAATTTTATAGATATATGTTTGCGAAATTATAAAATCTAAAAGAATAATTAATTATTTGCTTTAAAAAATCGAATAAAGAATGAACTCAAAATTTGCTTAATATACTTTGTAAGGTACATCAAATCATTATTTTTTCAATGAATTAATAAGTCTCAATTAGATGTTTTATAGTAAAATGAACTATAATGAAATAGATTTTCAGGTTTAATTCTATATGAATTAAAATTAATTACAATGTCTCAATAAATTAGCAATATCATACGAATACTTATTTGCAATATTATTTGAGTATTTCAATTAATTTGTTGGAGGTAACAATGTTGTGAGGTTTCGATCATCTGTATGCAGAAATTCTCTTCAATTTTATTTTAAGTATGCAACGGATATGCGGTAATCGAATTTCGTGAAAATCGCTCTTTGTAAATATGAGCTTCCTTACCGCTAGTGAATATTTTTTAATCATATTTTTTAATAAAAAAATAATTGTCAATTGATGAAATACATAAATAAAAAAAAATTAATTTAAGAAAATAAACTAAAAAAAAAAATAAATTGATTTAATTGGATGTTGTTTCGCGTTCTCAAATAATTATTTTCATGTTACAACGAGAATCAACAAATATTTCATGTCAGCTGTACGGAATATTCCAAGAGCTCCATCTATTTTTTTTTAAAGGTTTACAATTGATTGCTTTTTATTTAAACAAAGTAAGAACTATTGTTCAGAAATAATGTTTCGTTCAAAGACAACAAATTAAAGAATCCAGTGAAGTTAATTATGTTTAAAATAAATTAAGTAAAATTTTTTTTAAAAATAAGTAAAACTGATAAAAACATTACAATTGATTGAATGTTGAGTATATTTTGCATAGGAATGAAGTTCTTATGTCTGAAGACAAAGCAATTAAAAAAATGCTACTCAAGTTTATGGAATTTTTAATAAACTGTAAATCCTTTATTTCATTCCAAGAATACAATTAAAAAGTTTCTTTAGCGTGTAGTGAAAATCGTAATTTAAAACAATAAGTCTGAACGGATTATTTGTATTGAGTTAATAAAATAAAATTTTAAAAGCTGCATTCTTAAATTCATCGAACTTATAAGGGAATAATTACAGGTTATTAAAGGATAAAACTAAATAACGTGACTACATTGCAAAATATTAAATTAGGGAAAAGCTAGAATGAATAAATGAAACAAATATTTATTTTTGTAAGAATTAGTTTTCTCTTAAATATTCTGCGATTCAAACCATTTAAAGTGATTTAGGAAATAATAAGAACTTTGATATCGAATACAAAGGAGCAATAGAAAATTAAGATTCATTTAAAAAATGAGTTCTAATGATTTTTTTTATATCTTAAAATAGATGCTAGTCTATGCAATACTTATAGATAAAAAGCAAGCATTACAATAGATACAATGTATGTTTTTTTAGTCCTTTTAATAACCATTGAGACTATTTACACGTGCATAAAATCTTTTTATCATTTAAATCGGAGGGTTTTGATCTATTTGTTAAAAAATACATCTTTTAAAAATTCATTTGATTTAGAAGCTTATGATTTAAATTAAACAAAAATACTTAAATTAAACAATATTTTTCTTAAATTGCTGTTTCAAAGGAAAACAGTTTCTAAAAAATGAATATATTTAAAAGAAATAATTTGAAACTTTATGAATGTAAATATCTGAGCAAATAAATAAAAAGAAGTACTTCGTTTTTTCAGACACAATAATCCACATTTTAATAATAAAAGATGTTTAAAAATGAGGATGATTTAAATAAATTTTTTTGAAACGGTAGTTTTCATTCATCATTTCGTTCAATCATTTCATTCAAAAGTATTAATTTTCTGTATGAGCTTGGAGTAGCCCTTTGTATTTTAATGATGTACTGTATTTTTATTAAAAATAATCACACATAATTTCGCTAAAAATAAACTATAATTTGATTTCAAAAATGAATAAAATTCAGCTAAGTGATTAAATACTGGGGAAATATAGTACGTAGCTTAAGTATTTTTTTCTTTCCAAAATATGCTTTTTAATATTTTTCTTTTCAATATCTGTGTGATTTTTTTATTTAAACTTTTATAAATTTTTTAAAGAGTAATTAAAATTGATTGATATAAATTTTTGACAAGAATTGCTTTATTTAAAAACAAATATAGTGAAATCGTTAATAGTAACAAACGAAAAGAAATATTCGCAAGCCCTCATTTCTTTTCTACTGTAAAATTATTTCTATTCAACGAAAATGCAGAAATTTTCAGTAAAAGGAAATGGTTTCAAAAATTTATCATCTCTCTTAAAAACATACCATAAAATGTATATGAATGCTTTCTTAAATCGGTTATTCAGTTTGAACAATAATGTCAACTATTTTAATTTATAATTTAATATAAATTGATAAGTTACTAAAATGCGATAACATTTACAAAAAATTATAATGTTTTTGCTACTGGATAATAATTTGTGCAATAAAAATAAAATGTATGTTTGAGACGAATACCTAATTATTGTGAATTGTGAACGTGTTTTTTTAAAAACTAATTATGATTTGTATACTTAAAATACGCATCCAGTTGTAAAAGATGATAACTAAGTAATTTGTGTTCGTTTACTAGATGCTGCAACTTTTGAAGAGTTTCTTGACCTGTGCCATCAATGCAGGGACTACGTGAATGAAGGATTGTATGCATACGCCGTATCTGTTGCTATTTTGCATAGGAAAGATTGTAGAGGTGTCAACTTGCCTCCTGTCCAAGAAATCTTCCCCGATAAGTTCGTCCCAGTCGAAACACTCTTTAAGGCTTACAAAGAAGTACAACTTCACCCCGAAGATGAGGTAAAATGATATTTACAAATTGCAAAGTTTATTACATTTACATATTCTATAAGAGTAAATGAAAAATTCATTTTGACTCATAATCTAAAAGAATTGAAGAATTGATTTTAACTTATAATTTATAAGGGCAATCGAAGAATAAGTTTAGATTTCATCTATGCAGCACAAAATCAAAATTGTTTAGCTTTGCGCAAATAAAAGACTTGCAATTTTTTTTTGTAATTTTTTTTTACTCGCATTTCTTTCTTTAAGTAATTCATTAATAATGGGATATGTTTTTGTGAAAGAACTTATAAAATTTGTTTCGAAGTTACGTAATAGATGGCAGCACTACGAATAATTTTCAAACAGAAAAATACTTTTACCAATTAATTTTTAATCTCTGTTTTATATTTATTTTAATTACTTATTTATAATGCGTTAAATTTAAACAAGGTTCTGAAATATTAACGGTTCAACCTTTCCAATTAGGATGGATCACTTTTTAGCTTAAAATTATTACAAAAGATTGCAACAAGTGTTCATAGGGTTTTTTCAGCAATTCACTCTCTTAAAGCGGCGCTTAAATATAATAGATTGAAAACAAGAACTTTTCTAAGTTTATATCTTATTCTCAAGCTGAGTCATTCAGACTATTTTCAGAATTATTTTATTTTAAATAATTTGACTGAAGGCAGGGCTTGATCTAGAAATGAGGGGGAATTAGGCACAAAACTGTCAAAGGCACCTCTAGTCGTTACTTTAAACAAAACTTACCTATTGCTTAATTATGAAGTGTTTTTAAATTATTTATGACATATATAAGTTACGTTTGTAAACTTGATCTTATATTTATTTCAATCTTTGTTAACTCATAATTCTAATTGACAATTAAGAAGAAACGCAAAAAGAAATTATTTGTAACATTTAAGGGGCCCTAGGCCTGGGCCTCTCAAGCCTTATGATGAATCAGGCTCTGGCTGAAGGCACATGTTTATAGTGCATAAGCCATATGAGACTTTCTGTGCCAAAAAACCGAGGTTACTTCTGGCACTTTAGCAAAACAATGAACGTGGATCCATGTTTATTTGGAATAAATAAATAAATAAATAAATAAATAAATAAATAAATAAATAAATAAATAAATATATAAATAAATCAGCTTAGGTGTTGTTAAATTGTAAAATTGATTGCTTCAAAAATCACGAAACTAATGTATTATAAGCATAGTACATGTAAGGTTTAACTTTGGATGTCAAAATTTGCAGGACATCGTCATCAACATCGAAAAAACTGGTAATGTCATGGATCCTGAATACAACTTGGCATACTACAGAGAGGATATCGGTATCAATGCTCATCATTGGCACTGGCATTTGGTTTATCCTGCTACATGGAGACCTGAAGTCATCGGCAGGATCAAGGACCGGAAAGGAGAACTGTTCTTCTATATGCATCAACAGATGTGCGCCAGGTAAGGAAATCAAGACAAAAATCCATAAAATGCATGGACTAAACACTTAAATGTCCCATCAAGAGTTTAGTTAAAGAACATATTAATTGAAATTTTAAAGACATTCGAATTTAGTGACTTAATATGTTTAAAGAATGGGTTTTTATTCGGATTGTTCTCTATCTCCGATTGCGTCTCAGGGACTTTTAATTACTCAGTGGTTTCAGAGAGAAGTTGGGAAGCGTGGTGCGAAGAGCAAGTGATTGCTATCTCTATTTGCTCTAAGATTAGAGTGGCATTGCAGCTGCCTTGTCTTCAAATCATTAATAATGATGAAAGTTTATGCATAAAGAATGAGTGAGTGAGTTCTGCCACCATCTGCTCTTTGATCTAAATTGTGGTTGTTCTATCATTGTTCACGGATTACCACAAAGGATGATTATTTAAAAATAAATAATGAGCGAGTGATTGGTTTCACTATTTGTGCTTTGCTCTAAATTGTGGCAGCACTATCATTATTTTCGGATCATCATTTAGGATGAGCATTTGGGGAAAAATAATGAGCGAGTGTTTGCTACTACCATCTGCTCTTTGATCTAAGTTGTGGTAGCACTATCATTGTCTTCGGATCATCAATAAAAGTGATAAATAAGGAAAATAATGAACGAGTGATTGCTACCAACATCTGCTCTATGATTTAAATTATGGTAATGATTTGCGTGTACTTACGTCAGCATTCTCTTCGGATTATTACTAAAATAGCCATCAGTTCATTAGTCCAGCTTTAGGGCAACCTTAATAATCAAGTCTGAGAACAGTAAAAATATGTTATCATTGGCTGTAAATATAAAACATGAATCCCCCCCATATCTTTAAAAATGTTATTTTCAATTCGAAAACATGTTTTCCAAAATCTTCGTACAGTTACTTTGTATTTTAAAGCAAATTTTCTCATATTTTATTGAAATTTCTATTTTATATTTTCCTCTACTAAGCTCTTGAAATATTTACTGTAATAATCAATGATGTTGAGTTTTTCTGGAGAAAAGTTTCATGGTTTTCTTCTTCTTTGGCAGACAGGGTTTGTTTTAACTAAAGAGTTTTTTCTTCAAAAATAAAGTTTTTTTGTCATATAAGGCAAGTTAGAGAATTTGTTTTTGTAAATACAAAATTTTTATAAACTTATGTGCTTTCATGAATTAGTAGTTCAGAAAATTAATACATATATATTTAATAATGAACCATCATAAAGGGTTGATTTATCAATAATAAGGAATTAAAAAAGTTTAAGTATAAGCAGCATTATTGTACTTGTGTAAGTTCTCAAACTTTTGTCCAATACTATACACAACTTCACTGTAAATATAGATTAAGCTAAGAAAGTTTAAATGTCAGGTAAAAACGTAGATTTCATCTAATACATACGATTTCTGTTAAATTAACATATCCTTAAAAATCTATTGCAAATTTTTTATTAATCAAATATAAATTCGAACAAATTTAACAATTGTTTTATTTCACATCCGAAAAAAATTATTCTGAGCTAAATAGATTAAAAATCTTTAGATAATGCTTTAAATGAATATTTATTTAAAATGAATAATTATTCGTATTTTTTTTATTAAAGTTAAGAAAGCCTTTATTTTAAATTGATTAAAAATTTCGTGCATTTTTTGCGGAAGTTATTTGACATCGGAGCTATAATAGTTCTAGGCTAAGTAACTAAAGATTAAGCTATAATTTCTCAAAGTATTGTAATACCTTGGGTCATTACAGCTTAATCTTTATAAATTCATTTATAAATTTAATCTTAATGAATTCATTTGAAGCGCGAATAATAAAGTTCTTCTTCGGAAGGAGAGGGCAAATTCAAACTGGTTACTCACAACTTTTGGGATTCCGTAGAGAGAAATAATCCTCAATAATTAATTGAGAATGAGTTGAATTTGATGGGTTCCCCATTCTTTTAATATATATAAGATTGTTCTTAGAATAAGTGTTCTTGTAATACGTGTTCTTGTTCTTGCAACCTCATTATTGTATTATACGATCACGAGATCAAAATCATCAAATAGCATTTTGCGATCCACATGAGTAAGTACTTCGCCTGATAGTAAGTACTTAATAGATAAAAAATAAGGTTTTCCTTAATAAGGTAAGATAAAAAGATAAAAAAGATAAGGTAAGGTATAAGGTAAGATAAAAAATAAGGTTTTCTGCATTCACTATCCTTCATATTTATTTTTTGAATCAATTAAGTGAAAAACGCAGATCACATTAGGCTTACAAAATAATATTAAAGTAAGGGGAAGAAAAAAAACGATATCAGCATTACACAAACATAATTGAGGAAGTCGGGATTAAAAACATCAAAACCAGCTTGGATTGCTTTACGACTAAGATGTGTTTCTATTAGCTGATTCTTACAACCTCTTAGTTTCCTCCGAAAACAGGTTTTGGTGTTTCTAATCTCTTCTTTTTTGTCCATGATTCTCCATGGTTGAAGACCTTTTTTGTTCCCACCCCCTCCTTTTAATATTTATCGGAATCTCATATTATGCATAGCATTTTGATTTCATTTCTAAAAGCCCCCATGCCTCAAATGATAGAGTGCTTGCCTCCCAATGAGGTGACCCAAGTTCGATATCCATAGATGGCTAATCGTAATCGATGCGAATTCTGCACCCGATTTGCACCGACCACTGCTCTGACGTAAAAGATTCGCACTGGTAGACGGGTCATGATTTGAAATCCCTTTGCAGATTTTCTCTTTTTCGTCTCCATGTAACCTACAAAAGACTCATTCTAGTTCATCCTAATGCTTGATCCGGGAGCTCCATTGTCTTTTGGGTTGGCTTTAAAACTATAAGACTCCGGAGATAAACTCTGATACTTGTTAACTCACAAATGAGTGCACTGTTCAACCCTGGTTGTAAAATAAAATGACGAATACTAAAAATATAAATTTAAGGGCAGTGATTGTGGAAACCCAGGTATTTTATTAAAGTTTAATATTTTTGACTGTAAGGGTGGCTCCTATTCTATGGGCAAGTGTTATAAAATTTTCTATTTTTTTTTCACGTGAAGGCTGTGGGCAAGTATTGGAATTGATGACAAAAAAGTAATTCATTAGATGATTCCAGTAAATAAGTCGACCCATAAAATTCTAAATATCATATTATTTGGTCCATAACCATATATATAAATGGCTAATTTACTTTGTAACTCGAAAGTAAAGTAAATGCCAGTTAATAAAATATTTCAAATTGAGCTGTGTGTTAATAACTTCTCATACAATAGTTACAGCTTAAATTAATTATATATTCCTTAAACTGACCAGCTTTGGTGGAATACGCATTCTCACTTGCCTATGGTCTTCAGGTGCTGCCTTTCCAGTAGATTAATTACGTTTAATTAATTATTAGCAGAATTAAAATATCTTTTTAAAGTAACTTCCCAAGAAGATCAGAAGTATTAAACAAAATAAACTCTTTGTTAACTAGAGTCTGTTGTAAATCTGCTTAATAACTTTTATAATTAAATAATTTTTTTTCTTCTTCATAAAAGTTAAAAAGATTTATTGAAATTAATATTTTAAAAACGCATTAGAATTTTAACGGATGCGTGTCAGTTTTTTATGGGTGCATTTGATTTGTTTGTAGAGACAATATAAAGGAAATTCTCTATTTTAAGTAATTTATATTTTGCAATATGCATTTTTTCATTAAAAATATGTAACTAAAGCTTATCAATTCAAAACAAAATTTATCAATTACAAAACTTAAATTACTTTGCAAAATGTTAATTCAATTCTAAGTATACAGATTTTTTTCAATATTTACAATAATTAAACAATATTTTCAACCATGTCTGGCATATTTTAATTTTTTTTTCTCCCTCCAAGCGATAAGGGAGATAATGCATTTCGGAAAAATGAGTTTTTTTTTAGTATTTTTAAAGTTACATATTGGCATATAAAGTAAATTAGAATATTTTTTTTATGCTTAACTTATAAAAGTTAAATAAGATAGAAAGAAATGATTTTTCGTCTAAATAATGTACTGTTAGTGCATAAAGTACATTTGAACGTTTTTAAATTTAATATTTGTTGAAGTTGTATTCAATTATAAAAAAACACATAAGAAAATTGTACAAAAAGCAGTAAAATTAAGAAATCTTTTATTTTTCTTAAAATTTGACGTAAAATCCAATTTACTGGCAATTATAATAACAATAATAATAATATCTAATTATTTCAAATCCTTTTTTTAACTTATAGAATTTTTAAGTGCTTTTCTTTATTTTTTCATTTTATGCATGATGCCAACCAGAATCTTTTAATTTACAATAAAAACAGTTAAATAACTGGTATCAGATGTTTTTTTTTGTCCTTTATAAAATTAGTTCTTAAGCAGCCCAGGGGAGCCACTCTTTCTCTGTACGTATTACATCATCACTTTTTAGACGTAAGAAAAGGATTTCGAATAAAGGTATGTAAGCATTTTGTTGAATTTTGCATTCACTATTTATTCTCAGAGTCGCGATTTAACTAACAATTTTTTTTTTAAATTAATGAATGAAATGTAATTCAATATTTAGTTTCGGGAACTGAGAGTTAATTTTTACCTTAATTATTTATGATTATTTATAATTTTATTATGGTTGTTTATGATTTTTATCATGGCATTATTAAAGATATGTAATCATTGTTTTGAAATTACTCTGTTTGCTTGATTTAGATTCAGAGATGTAATTTATCTAGCACATAAGATTTTAAAAGAATAATTCTTTATTTATTTTAAATGATTAATTCTTTATTTATTTTAAATATATAATTCTTTATTTTAAAGAGAATTATTTTTGACGTAGAGTTAATTTTGGACCTTCATCAGGATTCTCACAACAGAATTAATAAATTAAATATGCAGGCATATTTAATAGATAGAGCTATATTATTTAACCACATTAAAGTTTTTAATTAATAAAATGTAATTTTTTATTCCAAATAAAATTAGTTGTGAAGTAGCAATAGGCTTACAGATTTTTTAAAAAAAAAAAGAATATTTCTATAATTTCACAGCTAAATTTCTTAATATAAATATATTATGGTGTGTGGATATGTTTTTCGCAATTAAGATAAATTAAAAGAAAAAAACAACAACATAGAATGACGTATTATACACAATTCATCATTAAGAAAACGATCCGTTATCAAATAATGACAGTAGTCGCTAAGAAGTAAATGAACGATTTCCATAACGGTTCAAATAGTTACTGATGATTACAATTACTTTAGGTACGATTGCGAACGACTTTCCAATCACATGCCACAGATGATTCCTTTCCACAACTTCCACGATGGTTTGGAAGGTTATTCCGCTCATTTGACCTCAAACATCAATGGTTTGCCATACTCATCCAGAAATAGTGGTCGCCAACTGGCTGATTTACCCGATTGCTCAGTTCAAGATTTGGAAAGATGGCGTGAAAGAATCTTGGACGCCATCGATGTCGGCGTCGTCGTTGATCCAAACGGTGGCGAGACTCCATTGGACAATGTCCATGGCATTAATATTCTTGGTAACATCATTGAATCCAACTACGATTCCGTCAATGTTCCCTATTATGGCAGTCTTCACAACTGGGGACACGTTCTGTTCGCAGCTGCTCACGATCCAGATGGAAGATTCAAGGTAAATTTATTCTTTTTCTTCCTCTTTGAAATTGCACCCACTTTAACATCAGGCACCACAATCAACCTCAGAAATCAATAGAATGGAAGACAATAAGCATGCTCATTAAGGGTCACTTTGCTCATTAAAAGTTACAAGAATATTTGCCAAAAATTAAATCAATAAGTATGCTCATGAAAGTCACAAAAGTTAATATTTAAGTTTACAGAAATCCCAGTTGCAGAAGTCAATCGAATAGAATATATGTTGAAAATCAAGTTTGCTTATGCTAATGGTCGGTATTGATAAAGGTGAGATTGAAAACATCAAAAATTGTTTATTTGACAGATGAAACTCACCTTTCCAGCAACCCCTTATTAACTTCTTCCAATTTTCCTTCGGAATCAAACAGGTTTTGAAAGTTTTCAGTCACGTTCAATTCATTTGTTACACTTCAATGGCGTTTTTCGCCCTTTCATTTGAATATTAATTTACAATCCCTTTTACATGTACGTTTTGACTTCATTTCTGGAAAGGATTTTTAAAATATACATAAGGGTGGTCTTTACTGAACCCCTCTTACGAAAATACAAAATTTGTTAAGAAAGTAATATTTATCTTCTTTTTGTAGTAACACGTAGCAACTAAAAGATATCATTAAGTAAAATTATTCAATTTGCTAAATTTTTAAAACCAATGACGAGAGAAAAAAATTTCACAGAAAGTTTTTAAAATATTTCAAGTAATCGTTTGTATTAAAAAATATTTATTTGTTGTTAAATCGGATTAAAACAATTAATTGTAAGATAAATTTTATCTAATATTTATCGAGCAAATTTGTATAACTTACTTCAGATGCATTGATATATTATGAAATATCAATATGTTTTAAATAAATAATTTAATAGCGTTTGAAAAGTAATCTATTATCAATCAATATGGATACTTTATAAAGTATTCTCTTATTGTACTGTGAGTGCTGCCCTTAATACTGATATCAAGTATACGACAATTATCATTCACGATAATGACGCGAGTCTTACCAACAACGATAAATATTGAATACGATTCTTTCTCAATCATTATCTACAACGAAAAATATCGAAAACGATACTTTCGCAATCATTTTCTTCCACGAAAAATATCAATTGCGATAATTATCGTTCTGGTAAATTTCATATGAGTAACGAAAATATTGATTATTGTAAAAATAATGTAAATGCGTTGAATCAGAAAAAAATATCGCAATAAATTGTAAAATACCGTGTATCCCGACGATATAGTGCACTATTAAAATCCTGATATCACGCAGCACGAATATTCATGTATAATAACTAGTTTTTATGTAAAGAATAATTATGTGCCATACTTTATTTTAGTTGAACCCTGGTGTTATGGATGACACAGCCACTGCTCTCCGAGATCCAATCTTTTACAGATGGCACAGGTTCATTGATGACCTCTTCCAAGAATACAAGAGGTCCCTACCTCCATACTCAGTAGAGGATGTAAGTTATAATATTACAATTAATACTCATTGATACTTTACATTAAAATTGATAGCAATTGATACTTCATTACAAAATTAATACTCATTGATACTTTATATTAAAATTGATAGCAATTGATACTTCATTATAAAATTAATACTCATTGATACTTCATTATAAAATTAATACTCATTGATACTTTATATTAAAATTGACACTACAATGAGGAACAAATGAACTGTTTCTAATTTATCGATTAACAAAGAATGAAATTTATGATTATGAATTTAAAGCAATAAAATTTTTAATAATAGTAGATTTGATTGGATGAAAGCATTACGTGACATTATAGTGAATTTGAATAAACCTGCTTAGAAATTTATACAGTGGAAATATGAAAAAAGCCAATTGGCAAAATCTATTTCCTATTGGCAATAATCCTTTAAGTTTTCCACATCATAGCGTTTGCAATCTAAGTGGTTAGTTTGTAGCAAACAATTTTACAACTTGCAGCAAAAAAAATAATAAATAAATAATAAATAAATAAGTAAATAAATAAAAAAATCATTAGGAAACTTGTTGACCTTTTATTACCAATCAATTATAATTAGGAATTTAAAGCAATAAAATTTTTAATAAACGTAGATCTGATTGGATGAAAGCATTAAGTGATATCATAGTAAATTTGAATAAACCAGATTAGAAATTTATACAGTGGAAATATGAAAAGGCTAATTGGCAAAATCTATTTCCTATTGGTAATAATCCTTTAAGTTGTTCACGTCATAGCGTTTGCAATCTAAGTGGTTAGTTTGCAGCAAACAATTTTGCAACTTGCAGCAAAAAATAAATAAATAAATAAAAAAGTCTTTAGGAAACTTGTTGGTCTTTTATTACCAAATGCACTTGCATTCTTCATCCATTTCAAAAATATTCAAGAATTGTTACTTAGTACCACTGAGACCTTGTGAAATATGAAGACTTTTCAAAATATTGTTAAGTTGGATCTTTCTCCGAGAAATCTTATATTTTTCAAAAATATCAATTACAGATTTTTCCATTTAACCTTTTCAATCATCACAGATATATTTATCAGTTTATGATAAACAATTTACTAACAGCTTTTACACGACCTGTATTCGAAATAGAATAAATATTTTGATCTTTGATATTTCTAGAAAGATTGTCGAATAAGAAATATTTCAGTTCCTTGCATTTTGCGCAGGGTCATACATTGACTTTAGCTCTTAAATTTTAAATCCTGTTGAAAAAGATATCATTTACCTGGACTCAAAATAGAAAAACGTTTTCAAAGGGATTCTGATACAAAATAATAAGAAATGAATTTATGATGAGATTGAATTTATTAACAGAAATGAATTTTTATTATGCATTTCAGAACAATGAATCCTTCCTGTAGAAATTAAAAGTAAACTTTTTTTTTTGGTTTAATAGTTAATCATAAAAAGGTTTTCTAATAGTTAATGAATGTTCTGCGCAATTAATTAATAGAGAAATGAAACTATTAAGACCCCGAAGTAAGTAAATTAGTTAGTATAGTTAGTTAAAAATGTGTTTCTTCTTTTCTTAAAAGCAAATCCAACTTGCCACAAAGTTGTCAAGAAGAAAATATAGATATGGAAAAACAAAACTCTTGTTTGACAAGTTATTCATTAATCTGTCAATTATTTGTTTACGATATGAAATAAAGTAATAAATTATCTTTTTTGACATGTTTAATTATTAGAAGTAAATTTGTCTTTTTTTTATAATAACAACGACATTTTTTTTTCTTAAATGTTTTAAAGGTAGTAAAATCTTAGTAATATCTACCCATTTAAGTGTTTTTGCTTTTCTTCTTAATAAAGATTTGAAGTGGAAGTCAGAGTACATTCTGAAAGAAAAGAAGGGAATAACGAAAAGTAAACAAATTTTGAAAACATGAAATTTATTTTTGAATTATGTTTTTCAAAAATTTTAAATTAACTTGTTAGCACTGAATGTCCTTGTTTGAAAACAGTTCTTCATTTCAAAATAAATAAATAAAAATTGGTAGCACAAACACAAGTATTATATTACAAATTTTTCTACCTAAGAGCAATGAAACTTGTTTGTCTGTTATATAAGTTGATATATTAATAATACAAGGATTCTAATTGGAATCTTTGGTGATAGGTTATAAGGATGGGTTATTAACAATAGGTTTGAAAATTAGGCGGTAGCTAACATAATAAAACACTCAATTAATCTAATAATTAATGTACTACCATTCTTTTCATAACAGCATTTTTTTATATCATTATAATTTAAATTTCGGACATTAACGGACTAATTAAATGCAAAAATTTCAAAGAGTTTTTGAAATTTCTAAACTAATTTTTGCTTGCTATAAAACTTATTTTTCTATTACAGTATTAACATTTTTTAATACAGTTACACTTAGAATAGAAGTATGATCAAAACTATTAGAATAAAGAGAAAATTTACCGTGTTTCTGATTGTATGGGAACACCAAAAAGTCAAGTAACTCTTGCCGGAGCACTTAGGTATTGTTTTCAGTGAAATTATCAAAAAAATATGGTTTTATAATGTGTGATAAAATTTAGTAATTTTAGCATGATACCTTAGAGCATGGCATAAAATACATTTATTCGGTTAAATTTACATTTCAGTTTTGTATTTTTTACTAAATGAGCGATAAATTGAACTATTATTTAAAAATTAAAATTTCGTTTATCCAATCGTATGGTAAACCTTTACCACATGAACGGGTAAATTATCAAATAAATGGCTTAAATACCATATATTTTAGTTTATTAATCGGAATTATGTATTTGTTTTTACTAGAAATGTCAATACCATACATCACGGTAATTTTATCAGAATTTTACGATTATGAGTATATGATTTTGCTTAAATTATTATATTGCCTTTTTTATCATTTCACATGTTTAGTTGGCGAATTTCATAAATTATAACTCGGTATATACCTGATAAACATATGCACTTTATAAAATAAAATAAATGACAAAACCCTTTGGGTACCGATTATTTTAGAACAGCCTAAAATTATTCATTAAGTATTAATTATAAAGCTTATTTCACCAAGTATTTAATAGAAATTTTTTTGTTTTTTCAACTTTGAGGAAAGCAGTTTTAAGCATGAATTTTGAATAAATGCCTTCAATTTACGAAATATTATGCCACGGAGGCTTAATTTTTGACAATTAATTTGAAAATTATTATTAATTAATTAAGTGATTAATTATAATTAATCATATTTAATTAAGTGATTAATTATAATTAATTATTAATCATTAATCATAAAAAATTATTAATAATTATAAATTTGAATTATTTTTTGATAGATTTTATGTGTTTATTTATAAAGTTAATGTTTAATATTATCGCCTACAAAAGTAATGGGCCATTGTCTTTTTCCAGTTGAGCTTTAGAGGTGTGACTGCAAAATCAATCTCCGTAAAATCCAGTTCACCAAACACCATCAAAACTTTCTTCAAGGATGACTATTTGGATGTCTCACACGCCTTCTATTTCCCAAGATCTGGAGCTGTTAAAGTAAGATAAACGGCATATTAATCATAAAATAATTTCTTCTTGTTCCATAAGTTTCTACTTGGTCTGATACTTGATAAAAATCTCGATTTTTTAAAAAATAATTTTTGTTTAGTATTCACACAATTTGTACGTGATATTATATGGCTCTACTTAGTTAAAGGGAATTTTTATTTAATTCTCAGATTGCTTATATTTGACAAAAATAAAATTTCTACTTTGTCAAAAATAATTTTTATTTAGTCCTCAGTTTATTTATTCTTGATATTATAAATTTTCTACTTGGTTAAAATTTTTTTTATTTAATTCTCAGATTGCTTCTATTTCGTCAGAAATAACTTTTATTTAGTGCTCAGTTGATTTATACTTCGTAACGTAGATGGTCTACTTAGTCAAAGATTATTTTTACTTAAAGCTAAGATAATTTCTCCTTGGTCATGGAGCAATTTCTACTTAATAAGGAACTAATTTTTTCGTCTGTATAAAATAATTTTTACTACATTATGCTTTTTACTTGTTCATAAAATAATTTTTAACTAATGTAAAGTAAAATGTTATTTTATCATGAAGTAATTTGTATTATGTCATAAAGTAATTTAAAATACTGTCAACTGAGTTGTAAGATAATTTCCATTCGTTCTTAAAATAATTTCTACTTGTTCTTAAAGTAATTTATGTTTTATTTACTTTTTACTTCGTCATAAAATATTTTACATTTTGATTTACTTTTTTTTCCATAATTTTTTTTTTCTGAGGCAAATAAAAATTTCGTAGTTTGTGCAATAGAAAATAATTTATACGTTGTTATAGGATAATTTCTCATGGATAAACTAATTTTTATTTGATTGAAAAGTAAATTATTTTCAGAAAATTTCTCAAATTTATCTAAATTAACGAAGTCTAAATTTACGTTCATTCTAGGTTCACTACAAGCATTTGGATCATGAACAATTCACCTATAAATTGGTGGTTGAAAACAGTGGAACCAAGACCAGACATGCTAAAGTTCGAATCTATATGGGACCTAAATTCGATCACTTGGGCAACGAAAAAACCATTCGAAACATTCGAAGAGTGATGATTGAATTGGACTCTTTCCATGTTGAATGTAAGTAATATTTCTTTGAACGGCTGATTTAATATTTGATCACTTAGCAAATGAAAATTTTAAAAATTAAAAAAAATATTGAAGGACACTTCAGAAGTAATCAATCATTTGAGTGTTGGAATACATCTTAGTTTGTTCTGAGATTAGAATACAAATTTATTCTAATGACTCTGATAGCTTAATGAATCCAATAATTTTTTCAAACTTACTAAGTTCTCCTTGTATGTAACATAACAATTAAGTAAATGCGAAAGTTAATCGTTTAAAATTTATGCTAGTTATCGATTTAGACTTAATTGTGTAAACTTAATGTGGTTTTTAAATATGCATACAATTATTGTTCGTAAGATTCGGATTGTCATTCATAATGTTTCATTTCTTTTCGTCATTAGTGAGGCCAGGTGAGAACACCATTGAAAGAAGGTCAATTGATTCCAGTGTAACACTGCGCAAGCAGAAGACACTGAAAGAATTGCTAAAAGGTGAAGGCGCTGGACAAAGAGCCGACGAATACTGCAGCTGTGGATGGCCTGATCATCTTCTCATACCTAAAGGAGACACCACCGGACTCCCATTCCACCTGTTTGCAATTCTCACAGATTATTTCGAAGACACAGTAAGTTCTTTATTCAATTTTCTAGCCTTCCGAATTATAATTTCACGCAGCTCAGAGGATGGAGTGTTCGTCTTAAAAGTCGCGAAAAAACATATCATCATCATCTTCAATCAATTTAAAATCACTAAGCTTTTGCCTTTGTTACACACTTTGTTTATGGACGTTCACTTGATTGCATAATAACACGAGGATATCGGCTCCGAATGCAATAAGACTGTTTTTTCAAGCTATTGGTCAAACTATTGTCAGTCACTTTTAAACATTGCAGAACTTTTGGCTCTAGTTTTCAGTCACTGTAAGGCCGTCACTTGCTGCTGGAAATCATCAAGTAATTGGCATAATGGAAATGGGCATCTCCTCATGTCTCATTTTCTGAACCATGAGGGATCAGGGGATAGAGCTCTTGTTCTGTAGCAAGGTCCCTAGGTTCGAATCTCGGCAACAGCTGCTCTATTCGTATGCTGCTCCCAAATTGCATAAACTACAGTACTGACGTGAAATATCTCAAGTGGTTGACTTTTCTTGGGTAATATCATTTTGAAGTCAGGCAAATCCTAGGAGAATTTCGTTGTTCTTCCTCATGCAGAGCAAGTATGGATTATTTCCATCAACAAAAGTTCTTCATGAATGTGAGTTTGTCCCGATGTTTGATTCAGGAGTTATTGCTTTCTGGATTGGGTTCAAAATTATAAAGCTACGGAGTCTAACATTGATAGTCGTACCTTACAGCTATCAATGGATAGTCGTACATCTAATACATCTAGAATGTTAGTCACCCGCCATTAAGTATGAATCCTTTAAGGTGACAGGAAAATTGTGAGAGGCTTTCGTGATTTTCCTCTTCATGAATATGGATTATTTCAAATAACAAAAGCCCTTCACGAATCTGAGTTTATTGCAATGGGAGGAGCTATTTTGCCTCCTAGATCGTGTTCAAAATTATAAGGTTACAGAATCTTATACTGATAGTCGTATCGCGCATCGATGAATGGATAGACGTACATCTGATACAGATAGACAGTTCGTCGACGGTGATAAAATAAAATATAATAACTCATTTTGGATCAAACAAATCCCATGTGTTATCTTTTGATGTAGACGGGGCACCGATGTCCTTTTTATAGATTTTTTGTTCTGACTCTCTAATTACAGGCAAAAGTATATATAGATATTTTTTTTTTAATTATAAAAAACAGTCAAATATTTACTAAATAATCTGTTAGATTATCGGAATTCTATTTCCTCTAAAATTCAAAAAAGGAACTTTAAATTTTTTTCTCATTTGTATTCAAAAATGTAAATATAATTGATTTTGTAAAATAAAGAAATTTAAATAGTGAATAACTGCTTCTTTTAGATCTTAAATCACTGCAAATAAGTGCAAAAGCGAAAAATTATTGTTTCGAAGTGAGCCGTGTTTGGAAGGTTTTACCTTTAACGCGGCAAAAGACACCGGTGTTTCATACTGTATTTCATAACCATAAATTATTAAAATGTTAAATAGAATGTGTTTAACTTATTTTGACCTAAATTAATACAAAATATTTAAAGAATATGAGAAATATGTTTAGTAAAAATTCTGCACTAAAGGGTGAATTGGCACCTTTTTTGTGTGGAAAAAGTAGCGTTTTCTGTCTTCGTGTATAAGTTGAGACTTGATTCCAATGTCTCTTTTATAGGTTAATGACCACGGCCGAACCAATGAATGCATCGATGCTGTGAGCTATTGCGGAGCTAAGGACCAACTCTTCCCAGACAAACGAGCCATGGGATTCCCCTTCGACAGAGAAATCAAGGCCTTCAACTACGACGAGTGGAAGCAACCAAATATGGTGCACACCGAGGTCACCATCAAACACGAAGAAAACTAAATCCCGAAAACAGATTTTTGTGTCTTTGTGTGTGTCTTGCAACAACGAAGAGCTATTTGTCAGAAAAGTATTATACGGAAGTTGAAATTGGAATACACTTTTTTTCTTTTAATTTGGACTGGAGAGAGAGAAAAATTCCAATAATTTACCCTGAAAACCATTTAAAACTCTCTGTTGAAGAATTTTCAAAAGAGTTAGCTCATGCGATATAGTTTTTTTATTTTTATTTTTTTATGATTTTTCAAAATATTACTGATTTTTGTCTTGTTAAACAAGATCGGATATAATAAAATAGTAACAGAAATTTTGAAATATAGCACTTGTATTTCTCCTTAAAAGTATATTTTTTTATTCAAAAAAATTATGTATTTTTTAAAAAATTAATTTTGTTTGTAAAATCAATTTAACCTTTTTTTTGGTATTTGATAACTTTGATTTTGGTTTACAAGCCTATTCTATGATTTCATTTTTAAAAATTCAGAGATAAGTTGCGTCAGGCTGATATAATGCGCAGATAATGTTTTAGGATTCTCTTATTATTCTGACGCTACCTATCACTGCATTTTTATCACCAGGTCAGAAAATAGGTTTGTATGTTTTATGGTGAAAAGCTTAGCACAATTTAAGTTAACGAATTATCGAAATCTTAAATTGTTTAGTCACATAACTATTTATATTACATTATTTAGCATAAAAGAGTAGTATTATAATACAGTTTTAAAATAATCAGGTTTAGTTTTGAACTTTTATCATAGTCTCAAACTTTTAATTCAATTTATTGATTAAAATATGAACGTAAAAGAAAGTAAAAAATTATGTCATTATTGATTTATTAAAATCATTTATTATGTTCAAAGAATATGCTTATGACAATGTCTGAATGAAATAAAGCGGTTTGTATCTAACTTAATTTAAATAGTTATTGCAGGAGAAGACAGTATTGTAATTTATATGATTATTTCAAAACAAGCTGCAAATTGCGAAATCATTCATTCATTGTACTGGATTTATGGAATATGTAATCAGTGGATATCAATAAAATAGTACTTTTCTGGTGATTGTTCTTCCACTATATAAATTTTGTGTACATTTATGTATTATAGACATTCATTTTACATGCAGTGCATGAGTCAGAAGCTATGGATATTCATGATAGGTTGATGATTTATTAAATCAGGGATAAGGACACATTATAGATGTGCTGCAAAGGCAATGAATAGTTAAGAGTGTGATTTAATAAATTTTGAAAGCATACCATACTGATGTGTCGTTATTTCGCATATTGATTCATTTACATAATTTCTAATGCAATACAGTTAGGCTTTTTCCCCCCAATATTGGAAAACCTCTATATCCATATCTTCTACATGGTGAACAGCCGAGAACTGACTAATTTAAAAATCTAGAAAGCAAAAAGGTATAATGGAATGAAACAAGTATGTTTATTGTGATAGTTGTAAACTTTTATACTGAACTTTTAGAATTTTGCTTCAAAAATTGGCAAAAGATGGCGTTACAAGTCATCTATGAACGGCTCTAGAGTTAAAGCGTGCAAGGAGGTTGTCGTACCGGATTAGGAGGTTTGAACCCAGCATTCTTTTAAAAAAAGTATGTTTCTGTTTCTGGAATGTGACAGTTTAACTCTGTACAGGGTACAGTGTTAAACTTGCTATTGGCAATTCAGAAGCTAAATACCCAAATGTCAGTATAAACCTTTTACATCTTAACCGCTAGACATACCTTTTGTTTCATTCTTCCGTCGCCTTTTGTATCTGTGCATATTTTAACTTACAATGTGGGTGGCACTAGTGTCATCCGAAGAAAAAATAGCTCTTATCAGTGCTGTTTAATGCCACGCAGTCCCAGATATAGTTTGTCTAAAATAAGAACTCCTCCTGACATTCGTCTGAACCTGTGGCGGTGACTATGGTAACGAGGTATGACTATTTCAAGTAGGGGTGCGGGGTCACTGTTTTGGGGTGGTTTCAGGTCTCGTCGGCGAGAGAAAGGAGATCTCTTCGGTCTATTGTGTTAGTCCTAGAGTGAAGCTACTCACCCTAAAATGCGCCATTCTTGCTACCATAGCACCACACGGCCTCAGACTTTGTGGTGGGAGGAGTTCTTAGCTTAGACAAACTATATCATTCCAAACAGCGCAAGCCTTAAAAAAAACTTAATTTTACTTTTTAAGTTTAAGTGCTCTTAATTTGAAATTTCTTTTTCTCTTTTTCCCTAAATAAATAACTGTAACTTTTTTTTTAATACATTAACATAGCAATAATGATTTAGCATAAATTTGTTGCATATCTAGGGCAGGGGAGCACATTTACTCTTGAAGGGGAAATGTCCCCCAGGAAGAGTAAGTTCTCTGCATGATTATTTTCGAGTTTAAACTTATTAATTCCCAAAAAATGAAAATATTGCTTTTTTATTACTAAAGTTTAAAATTTATGAATATTAAAGCGATGATGTAAAAAAATGTTTGACGGGGAAATTTAAAAATTACTTATATCAACTAGTTTTATTTATATATTTTCCAGATAATTACTCAGAGAAAAAATTACATAATTTTATATAAAGCATTAAAAAATAATGTGATTTGAAGTTCTAAGCAAAAAAAGTAAAATTTGGCAAGTATAGTATGTTTTGTTCATAACCTTAGTGCCACCTAGTGAAAATCTATTAAAATATGATATGCTTTGTATCCGAGGTTTTTTATTTTGAAATCAGTCAGAACTCCACTGGTTAGAAAATAAAATCAAGGGTACATAGCCTTTGATTTAATGGGGTCTTTTAATTGGATCATGGGCCTTTTGATTTACACAGGATACGACATCCAGGTATTCGAAGTCACGTTTTTCGGGATCAACAGTTTTGTGCTTCATAGAAAGGAACCAACGTCATCTCTGGCAGCTTAACAAAAATCAAACTTCTAAGTTGTTTTTACACAGGGCACACGATGGAACCATATTATGCCTCATTGGGCGGCCACTAAGTCCTGTTATAATTTTGCGGCTTGTTGGGGGTATTTTATTACTTTATAGAACAACGTCAGAAATTTTCCATTGTGTCCCGACGCCTTCTTTAAAAAGGAGAATACTGAGAGCGATTATTGAAAAGATTTTATTAAATTTACCACACTGTAAAAAATTCATTAAATGAAAATATCTCTTTATTTCTTTTATAAAAAGAAAAAAAAAATATTTGCAAATAATTAGCCTTTATATTTATATACGACAAAACGTCCCGGGATTCAAACTCGCGCTGTTGGTGTTCTGTAATGATGGTGTTTATATCATGGCGTTCTGTTGTCACCACCGTTCTTATTATAACATTTTAGAATCCTTGCCGAATGTAAAGTAAAAAGGGAATACTTATAAGGAATTTAAAGTAAAAATACTATTTTTGAAGTTTCAGATTGAACCGCATTACCATGTACGTTAATCTCTCATACAAATGTTTATGTCATACTGAGGTTCGATCTGAATGGAAACATACTCCAACTTATCACCATAGTGTAGTAATTTAGTCCGGAATTATGATTCGACCTGAAACGAGGCATGGTTCATTGTATAACCTTTTCAAGACTATAGTGATTTTGTCTGCTGGCATTTTATTTTTCCACCTGAAATGAAATATGGTTTTACTAATCACCTTATTAAGTCTTTAGTAAATTTGTTCATAGTCGATCGGAAATGAAACGTGGTTTAACTTATCACTTAATTAAGCCGGAAGTAATTATTTTCCTAATTATAATTCAACCTGATGGGAAACATAGTTTAATTTATCACCTTATTTTGAATGCAGTAAGTTTGTTCTGTATTAAGATTTGTCCTGAATTTAGACGTGATTTCTCTTATCACCTTATTGAGCCAGCAGCAAATTTGTACTATATTATACCGGACCCAGAATTTTCGGCTTAACTTTTTTACCGAGTACATTATGGAATATTGGACAACAGATACTTAATTTAATTATAAGTCCTAAAGAAATATGTCTCATGCCTTAATATTTTCTAATTTAAACTGACTTTCTCAAGTATACCGAAATTTTACTAAACTAATTCATTGTTCAACTAAACTTTTTAATTTTCTAAAAAAACGTATTAAATATGTATTATTTTATAAAAATAATAATTCTTGAGACAACTTCGGAAAGTACCGAAACAACGAGGTCTATTAGATTCAGAACAAATTGTTACAAATTCAATACGGAAAATAAAGCCAATTACGAGATAGCAAACATTTTAATTTGAGAGAGTACCTCACGCTATTTAACAATCAGTTTACACGGAGACTTCAATTCGATAGCTGTCAAAAGTTTACAAGTTCTATATCACAATTCAACGAAAAACTAAACCGTATTTCGTCACGTGACGCTCGATTTGTTTTTTCCTGTTGTCCCTGGAGACACACATTTCCCTCTAAGATAGAAAAACAAAATCTATGAAAATAATTATACCAACTAATCGAACTTTTTACCAAGTCATGAATACAATAACTTATTTCTTCGTGAAACTGTCGAACATGACAGACATGCCACGAAGAATGTGCGATATCTCGCCAATGAACGGAGCCGTTTGGCGAGATTGATACTCCATTTCATAAATTTAATAAAAATTGATAGCTAAACTGCGATTTTGGGATTTCCTTTCAATTGAAACAAACAGTTGCTAAGGAGTATGTATCGATTCATTTGCATAGTTCATTGCAGTCTTTATGCGAGTTCAACGGTTTGGTAAACAAAGTTAAAACCTTCGTTGGCTATCTTGAAAGTGATTGGCTGAAAAGTTAAAAATCAATTGATGACACAATTCCTTTTTTGTTTTTGTTCTCTGCGGTGTTGCTAAATTTGCTGTTTTTTTGGGAGGGGGGAAGCATGCAAAATTAAAATTTGTGATTAAAAAACCCTGACTGTATTTGAATTTTGTGGTGATGAGATGTGCTCTGCCGTGCTACAAGCCAATTTACATATTTCGCAATGGATAAAGTTTATGCCAGTCCTATTTATAAACATCAAGAATTGTTTCTTTCTGTTCCCTATCTAAAATATGTAGAAAAACGAAGTACTTTTATAATTACGTTGATATTGATACTGACAAAGATGTTTACGTTATTAAAGCTTTAGAATTTTGCAAAAGGTACTAATACACGAATTCGACTTAGAAAAACTACACCAAAGATAGTCATTTTTCGCCACATAATTCCTGTTTTAAAAAGCAAACAGCTAGAAGAAGAATTTTTTGCGTATAAAACTTTAATGACACTGCCAATGATGCTTATATTATAAAAACTTTGGAACTGGGGAAAAGAAACAGATGCTTCAAGTTTAGCTTGAACATGTGAATAAATGTTATTTTGGCTTGGATTTTCGAGAACTAAAACTTTTAGATTCTCATGAAGATTCGAGGCTGTTTTATTCAGGGAAAGAAGAATAAAAGACCATTCTTTAAGAATCAATGCTTCTTTGTAGCTTTCATTTGGATATGTAAGTATTGCTTATAAGCTACTATTATATTTATCATTATTATGGATTAAAATGCTGCTGTTATTGATAAAAAAATATTGAAATAATTTATTGATCTCGTAATCATTAATACTAAATAAAGAGTTTTGCGGAATAACTTATTAAATTACTCTGTAAAATACTTAATTTCCCAAGTAAGTTTATGTTCTGAGAGTAGGACATTAATTAATTTTGATGAGTTTTTAAGCATGATGATTTTTTATAGAATAAATCGTTTCGTGAAGAGTATCGAGATGTTTCTGAAGTCAATATTTTGTTCGTAGTTGTTAGAAGCAGAACATCCAAACAATGTTCTGTCGTCATTGTTTAAATGTCCTGTTCATCATTCTAAAACCTACTTTATAAAATTCAATAAAATAGCATTTAAAACTTTCTTTCACTTTTCACTTCGATGTATCATGTTAGCTACATATGCCCTTCAAATTATAATGTTAAATACATATGCTATTCCGTGTATAATGTTAAATACATATGCTCTTTAACGTATAATGTTAAATACATATGCTCTTTAACGTATAATGTTAAATACATATGCTATTCAACCTATAGAGTTAAATACATATATGCTCTTTAACGTATAATGTTAAATACACTTGTTCTCAAACGCACAATGTTACATGCAATGCTCTTTAACATTTATTGTTAAATACAAATGCTGTACAATGTATAATGTTAAATACATATGCTCTTCAACATATAATGTTAAATACACGTGATCTTCTACATGTAGTGTTAAATACATATCGCTGCTTCAAAACTAAAACGACACATCTGCAGGCATTCCACGTTTGCAGATGTGTCGTTTTAGTTTTTAACCAGCGATACGTTCTTCAACGTATAATGCTAAATAAACATGTTCTTAATCGTATAATGTTAAATACACATGCTCGTCAACGTATGTTAAATACAGAGTGTTCCATTACGATGCACATATGTCATTATAATTCATATTAATTTTCTTTTCATACATTTCTAAAGGGGGGATTACAGAATATTCTAAATATATTTTTTATTACTCGAGTTGAATAGTTCATTAGTCAGACTATAAACAGCACAAACACTTTATCCTTATATGTTTGGGATCTCATATATGGGATGATTGTAAAACAATACAGAAGCGAAATCTATGAGTACTAATTTCACCTACTAAAATGATTTTATATTTACAATACTTTAGTTGTTATAAATAGCGCCACTATTGTACCTTTTTTTTTGATTTTATTAGCATATACATTTAAATAACTACACTGTAAAAAGTTCGGAATCAAATTAAGGTAAAAGTACCGGTACTTTTTACTGCTAAATCCATTTTTACTGAAATATGTTATGGAACAAAAAATCCGATATATCGTAATTTGAACAGTAATAATTACTGAAAAATCACCGAATCACTCTACATAAATAAATATTACTGTAAAAATTATGGAATAATATTTTATGGCAAAAATGGATTTTACGGATGATGCATCCAAAGTACTTTATATCATAATTTGATCCGGCATTTTTTCACTGTAGCAGTTAGATTATAACTAGTAACTAATAAAATGTAGTAGAGTATAACTAGCAACTAATAACCAGTATAACTGGTATGCCAAATCTCATAATTACAAAATGATGACTTTAATACGTAATTGATACGTTGAACGCTTTTTATAGGTAATATCTTCTCCTTTGCTCATGTTATTTTTATAAAAATCAAAATTTTTCCATTTTTTTTGGTTCTTATTTGTATATCAATTGCACATAAACGTTTAAAATTTTTGAATGCTAAGGTTAATTAATATGGTTTGTTACTTAATGAGTGTATATTTTAAGTTCGCGAGGAGTCATCATAAAGGTGGAGATTTCATCACTGAAGTCACGTGTTGCTATGCCAGAAAACTTTTTAGAAAATATTATTATCCGATATGTTAAAACACGTTTATTTTCGAAGTGAAAACTATGATGAATTCCATGAACATTTCTAAGATAATACTTTAATAATTCTTTTCTTTTTTTTCTTTTTAACAAAAAGAAGTTATTTATACGCAATCGTGAAGTCATTTTCAAGAAGTGGTTTCTAAACGGGTACAGTACTTTACAACGGTACGACTTAAACAAATATTTTACCATATTAGATGAAAAATATAAATAGTTTTGACAAAAATCGTATTTCTTTTATATAGAAATAGTAATATTTATGGATAAAAATCGTAATAATTTTTGGTCAAAATCAAAACATAAAGTGCACACTTTTATAGTATACTATAGCTTTGGTTACAAATTGCTTATTAAATACATTCATTTTTACGATGATTTATAAATAGATAGTAACACTGCACAACAAATTTGAACATAGTTTTTGTCCTTTAAATCTATATATATAAAAGTGAATGTGTGTCTGTCTGTCTGTCCTCTATAGACTCCTAAACCATCCGACAGAAAGCTATGAAACTTGGCATACAGATAGTTCAAAGCACGAGGAAGGTTTCTGTCGACATTAGAACATTCTGCGATAAACCGTTCCAGCGATATCAGTGAAAGTCGAAATGGAATTTTCTGATTGGTTAAAAGCTAGCCATTGTTTTAAATTTTGCTATAAACGATTCAATTTTCAAATATCTTGAAGATAACAACAGTGATATTTTCTATCTTATAACTCTATTCATTTAGAAAAGTAAATTAAAGTAAATTGCATATACTTTAATTTTTAATTCGCGCTTTTCTTTATGTCAGGTGAGCACAAGCAAGTAAAATCAACGAGAATAGATTTCTTAATTGTTGGTCGTATCACGGATTCAGTACTGTGAAAACTGTTTAATAAATATAAAGACAAAAGCAAATTTCATTCAAATTGCACGTTTTCAGAAATATTTATATTTAGTACGTAATTTTAGGTTAGCAAAATTAAATATACTTTTCGAAGATTTCAGTGCTGTGACAGTTGTCATTTGAAAACTATTAGTTTGTTTGTTTATTTATGCAAAGTTTTCGAATTCATCCATTTTATTTCTTTCATTTATAAAATTGATTTTTGTTTTAAATCTTATAATTTTCATATTTCTTATTCATCTCATTTTTATTGCTCTTTTTATTATTTAAAATATGTATGTGATATTTCGATTTAGCAAATTTGCGACCACTGCCAACTTTTACATTTCTTTTTCGTTGTCAGAAAGAATATTTGCAAAAATATGCCGCCTAAGCAAATCGCTCTTAGTCGGTCGACATCTCAAGCGCGCAAAAAGAGAACTACCCGTGTTTCAGAAACATCGGAGCAACGGGAAAAAGACTTGAAACTAATCGAGAACAGAATGCTTTTGCCCGTTCCTTAGAAACGTCTGAGCAACAGGAAAGAAGACTGTCAACAAATCAACTACGAACTACACAAGCCCGTTCGTCGGAAACATCAGAGCAACGGGAAGCAAGAATGAAAACCGACCGAGAACGCATTTCGCTATTCAGACGCTGCCAATACTCTGATTTGAATTTCAGTGCATTTCACTATGATCCGACAACAAACTATAGTCTTCCCCCAAGTGTCATCATCGGAGAAATATATCAATTATGTATGTTTTGTAATGCTCTCAAATTTAAAAATGAAACAGCTGAAATTTGCTGTTCTAGAAGCATACAGAAACTACAAGATTTTACGTCGCCTGCCGAGACATTATCAACCTTCGTATCAGGTCAAACAAACCAATCGAAACATTTTTTGGCGCATATACGCCGGTACAATTCGTGTTTCTAAATGACTTTATTCGGTGCTACACGTATCCTGAACGAGAATTACATCCCAACATTCAAAGTGCAAGGCCAAATTTATCATCGTGCAAGGATCACTTCTTTCAATGCCTAACGCAGATCATAAATTTCTACAAATTTATTTCATGGATAACACAAATGATCAAGTCAATCAACGTTGTCAGGTAAACAATGGCACTAAACGAAAAATTGTTACCGTATTACAAAAATTTTTCGATCAACATAATCAGTTAATTAGGCTGTTCACAATTGCCCTAGACTAAATGTCATCCGATATTTACAAAGTTGTTATTAGAGCTGAAAAAACACCTGTAGGCCACCACAAAGAAAAATACAATGCGCCAACATTGGATGAAGTGGCTATTGTTATAGTTGGCGAAGAATTTACCTCCCGCGATACAGTTCTTCATCGCAGAAATCGTGACGTTCAAAGAGTTCTCAGAAACGTATCGATCATATGATGCATTGCAATATCCTATTTTATTTTGGTGAGGAGAGGAGGGATATTATTTTAACATAAAATTAAGAAGTCCGCAAACAGGCGAGAAAACCAATAAGAAAGCAAGTGCAATAAGTTTTTATGCATATAGATTAATGATTGCCAAAACGCTGATAATCATACTTTAAAATGTCGACAATTAGTTCATCAATACATTGTCGATATGTATGCGAAAATTGAAACTGAACGCCTACTGTATATTAAATTAAATCAAACCAAATTACGTTCAGAAGAATGCATTCATTTACGGGATGCAATAATTAATGATGGTAACGTTAATCCTAATGATGTGGGGAAAATGATTATATTGCCGACTACATTTGCAGGGAGAAAAACTTGGACTCCCTGCAAATGTAGTATTCATACATGTCTGAGTATTCATACATGTGCCTTGGACTCCAAGGCACATGTATGAATACTCACAGGATGCAATGACATATGTTCTCGCATATGGGCTCCTAGATTTATTTATTACATTTACGTGCAATTCTGCTTGGGTTGAAATTAGAGATATTTTGTTACCAGGACAATCATCATCGGATCGTCATGATATTACAGCACGTGTGTTCAAACAAAAATGATAATCTTTACTTGATTTCATTGTGAAGCGTCATGTTTTTAGAGAGACACGGTGTTGGGTGTACTCTATTGAATGGCAAAAACGAGGATTGCCTCAGGCACACATTCTAATTTGGCTTATTGAAAAAAAACCACCTTC